TATAGTTTACAACCGATAAACCTAGTTTATCGATTGTGAAACTATGATTATCTCATTTTTGTGAATTTGGCGTGCCATAAATATTTATCAGATCGTTAACTATAGTTAACGGTTTGTAAACTATAGTTTACAAATCGTGAAACTGTATTTATCAGATAATCTATGTTTTGCAATCGCAAATGATTGTTTTCGGTGTTAAGTATAGTTTACGGTTGTGAAACATAGATTGTCGCGTTAACTATGGTTTACAGATGTAAAATATAGATTAACGTTGTTAACTATAGTTTACAGTCCGTAAACTATTAATAGTTTACAACCGATAAACCTAGTTTATCGACTGTGAAACTATGTTTAGCTCATTTTTGTGAATTTGGCGAGCCATATTTTACTGTGAAAACCCAAATTTTCGTTGGGATTTTCGTTGTTTTAGTGATATAAAGAGCCCCACGAATTCATTACCATCACGAAATGTAAAATGTTATGTACATGACTACTAAAGAATTCTTCATCCACGAAATCAAATCCCCATGAACAAAGAGTTTTTTTCTCAAACCACGAAAATGTCACCCCACGAAAATATGTGATTTTACAGTAAATAGCTTTAATTTGAACAGCTGTACATGCACTGCTGATTTTCAAGCAGTTATTCTTCCAGAAAATATGGAGCGCAGACTAGAACAAACTATATTTTTACCAAAGAAGCCCCCATATCTAATACTAATTAGTGACGGAAAAATTATGTATGTTCTACACTGCGCTCTATATTTCCCATAAGAAAAAAAACATGAAGAAAAAGGCATATTTTTGGCTTTTTTGGTTAGATTGCAAAAATAGCATTATTTCTCATGTCATTCACAGCCAGTGAGTGCATAAAAATGTGAAAAATATTTGAAAAAATATGTAATATACCCAGTAATCTCTTCTTCAAAATAAATATCGATTAAACATATCTGAATATCATTCTAAAATATTGATTTTTAGAGGGCTCTTATCATAAACATTCCTTTGAATCTAGTTGTCGAGAAACGAGGCAGATTAAGAGCTCTATATCTTTGTAATATAAATAATACTAATAAAGATTCGTTCAAAGTAGATTTTTTCAATAAAGAAGTTAATTCTAAATACAATTAGACAGTTTCTAGAGATTTACCGAATCTTGTTATGTTATAAATATGATATTTTCTATACGTAAACAAAAACAACGCACGAAGAATTTTACGTTCTGTTTCTCCTTTTTAAATAAAAAAAAATAATGTTCAATTTTTTGCAAATCATTTAAATAGCCATGATTAGGAATTGTAAACATTCAAATTGGCTTTCAAAAAATCTTTTTAAAAACTGTGTCCATGTCCCTTTTAAAAATTCTCAAAAATAATGATTTTAAAAAATTATAGAATAAGAAAAACTAAATACATGTAAATATAAGTTTATTCAGACATAACATAGATTTTTATAGGTTCAAATCTTGTCCTGGGGGACAAATTTTGCCACTCCAGGGAGCTCCTCGGGTGGCTCATACCTCTCACAGTCTAACCTCCAATGTTAATGGTGTCCTACCAAATTGCTGATTCAGTCATGTGATCTGTATTTGCATTGTTTTCAAAATATTGTACATTTTTTAAATCAGAGTAACTTTGTGGCACGCCCATTACTATGTTTATGCTAAATACTTTGACAAGAACTTTTAAATGAGTATATATATTAAATATTAAATGAGTTATAAAGCAGTTCCAGCGTATAGCAGAGTAAGCCGTGGATTGTGGAATCTGGTTTGGCAGCTACATGTATAGAGGGAGACCTTTACCATGATGTGGGTATATGTTAGAAAAATTTTCAAATCTTCTCGAAAACAGTTGGGCCATTCTTAGTCGAAACAAGATTAACCATCCTTAATTAGGAATGCAATTTAAATCCAGGCTGCACCAACAACAGGGGATCCCAGTTTTACAATTTGTACATTTAAAAAATCAATGCATTTTAAAGATTTGCAGGATACTGATGTCATATCAATTTGTATTATATCTCAAATTCTTATGTCTAAGTGGGACCACAAAATGGGGTGAAATTTCTCACGGGAATAAAGAGGGGAAACAAATTATGTAAGAGAATAATGTGTTGATATTGACATAACTATACAACAGAAAATTTCATTAAATTTTATAAAATAATGATTTACTAAAAAAAAAAAATCAGCCTGATAAAGATTGGAAAGCAAATAATAACAATATTTGACAAAACACATTTTGCAAATTCCTCTTGTAAGTCTAGAGCATTAACTATTTAAAGAATTTTAAAACATTTTTTCCAGGTGTACATAAATTATACACATGTCTTTGTTCATGCACGACACATTTTCAAGTCTTTTAGCTCTCAAGTTTTTCTTCAGTTTCAGTCAATGCCCTTTTGGTTCGTTCAGTGGCCTTGAAATAATCATAGTCGAGGAGACGGAGGAAACTTCCCTCATCATTCCCTCCAACGCACCACAACCACCCTTCTCCATCAAATGAGAGAGACTTCAAATTGGTTAAGCCATCCTCTGGCCAAACAACAATTCTTAGAAACTGACCACCAATATCTAACATGTGAATAGAATTATCTATTCTGTTCGCAACTAAAATGTTATCGACTGGATCCAGGCATGCAGATGCCACTGAAAATGTCGAACTTATTGAAATATTGTTTTCAATATTCCCCGTGTAGGTAAACAGAGTTGATAGTTGTTGATCGTACACCTGAAGCGCATTAGATCTACAAACGATAGCGATCTGTGACTTGGAGTCTTGCAGAACGCAGAGTTTTGCACCTGCTGGTCTACTAGATGAACTAACATTCTCTTCCTTTGAAATAACATCTGCTTGGGCATTGTCTTTTACTCGATATATTAATAATGTGTAAACATAGTTACCGTAATTCACATTAATTTTTTCAGTTAGCAAAGATAAACCAAATTTTTCATTTTCTTCAACTGCCAGGATTTCCCCATAATCCCCACATGGGACTGAAAACAAAGGCATACATTTTCCGTTATGTAAATAAAGCTTCAGTACTGATCTATCATTGCTAATAAAAAGGATCCCACGTCCAGACGACAGTTCAACACAACTATCCACACCCTGAAGCACTTCACGCACAGAATTGTCAGCTGCTGCAACAACGAGCTTGTCTCCTAGATCTACATGTATAAACATTTTCCCTCCAGAAAATAAAACTTCTTTGAACTCTTTAATTGTTTTAACGTTCGATTTAAACTGGGAACAAACAATTTGATTTTCTTAGTTTTTAATTTTCTTATTGCAACGAAATAACTTGCTTTCGCTTATTTCATGAAACGGAGATTTCCTCTCAATTTGCCGGTCTCCATCAGAGGATTTAGATAAATCTTGTTGAATGACCAAGTTTCCGAATAGCTCCTCTACTTGTTTTCCACCAAAACTTTGGAGAGTTTCGAATGTAACAGTCACTGGGTCATGGATTTTGATTTCCCTTTCCAGCCGTCGTAGTTCGCTTTGACATTGCAATATTTTATTACAGTTTGCTTCCGATTCGGTGTCGAAATTAGGAATGTCTGTAAAGTTTTCTATTTCTTTCTCACTTTCTTCAATTTTTCCTATACATTTAGAAAAAGCATCAGATACAGTTTTTTCCCAATATTTCTCACCTCTGCCACAATGGCTCCTTCCCTGTTGCTTATTTCATCGATAAGTTTCATTTGCCTTTCTTCCAAGGTTTTGCGCTTACAAAGCAGTTCACTTTTGATTTTATCAATCAGAGAATTTTCTCCATACAATGATTCCATCAGTTCTCCATGTCGTTCCTGAAAATAAGTAGACGCCTCGCATATTTTGTGTTGTAAATGGGAGGAAGTTAAACACTTCATACAGACTGGACAGTAACAATCCTCACAATATATTGGCACTAGGTTCTCCTCATGAGATTTGCATATTTGATACTTTGTACTGTGATCCATAGTAAAAGTGGTACACCGGCACCTACTCACAGTTGATGGTTGACAAACTTTACACAGACAAAGAATATTGTAACATATGTCTCTGATGTGCCCACTTACTTTGGCAAGTAAATGGTTACAAAGCGCATGCAAATAGTGAAATCGTAACACAATTTCCTTACTTCATCATGTTGATACAACTTTGAAATACAACCGTAACCATGAATTATTTATTTGCTATCTATTTAACATTATTGTAACAGTTAATGACTGCACGGGTTCAATAACCTTGATCTGATTGGCTGAGGCCTAAAAGTTAAAGGCACGTACTGGCAAACAGTTTGGTGCGACAAAAAGCATTTTGCCCCTGAACACAGTCAATAAATATTTTGTTATACCTTCCATTACTATTTTGTTTTATTTCTTATTAACACAAAATTGTTTTGTTTATCTTTAAGAATCGTGAAGTCACCTTACATCCAAGACATTAGAAGATCTTACTAACGCTACGTGTCAGCCGATAATGAAAGGGGGGTGAAATATTAACACGTCAATTTCAAATTAAGAATTTATTTGGAAAAAAAAATACGACAGAAAAAAAACTGCATAATAGGATACAACAAAATTATTCAGAGAGAGAGAGGGGGGGGGGGCAAAAACAGTTTTGTGTCATATTATACCTTGTTAAAAGATATTGGATTTGAACGATTAGAAAAAAGTATTTATATATATATGCAAGAATACAATTTTCATTAAGGCATTATATTCAAATATATAATGCACGATAGTTGCAGTACAATATCCATGTTATATACACTGTAATTTACTAACTACCGAGTAAACCATGCATAAAATGATGCATAAAATCTTGCAAATTATTGGAATTTTTGGGATAAATCTAACAGTACCATAGGTTTTAAATACTGATTTCACTATTTGTTTATGTTGTTCTAATATAATACCGGTATCTCGTACAATAATGTAAACACATGAGAAAATATAAAGTGTGAAGAATGTTCTTCCCCAAACAAAATGTCAGAGGAATCTTTGGTTTACATTCCAAGCAGCAGGTCTCTGACAATATTTACATAAAGTTTTCCTGCAGGTAATCCACCATAAATACAAACTTTAATTTCAGAGTGAAGAGAAAGGAGAGAATAAGAACCCCTTCATGATGGTAGAGATGAGAAAATCAAGTCTGATACTGGCTGCAAAAATTCTGTCTGTTTCTTTTATATTTCCAGTGAATTCGTTTTCGCTTCTGACAGGAAATGACTCCAATGGAATTGAAAGTCTTGGAAATACGTCATCACCAAGAGAGGCCGATATTTTACGTCAAATTGTAAACCAGGAAAGCCTTGTGCGGATGTCAATGGTACAAAGTCTACAAGCTCTAATGATAGACATGCTGACATGCAAAAACAACTATGATACTTTGAAAAAAGAAGTTGAAGCCATTCGGAGGGAAAACCAGAAGATAATCGAAAAGAACTCTGACCTGGACCAGAAAGTAATGAACTTAAGCAAGACTGTCATTCTGGACGGATTTTCTTTGGAAAATTTTGAGAACGGACAGCAAAGTATCCTAGAGCAACTAAGTGTGGTCAAGGAAACTCATCGAGAATTAGCAGGGAAAGTAAATAGCACATTAGGGTCTGTCAATGAAGATCTTTTATCTGCAAAAAGTAAGTAATATAGTTACATGAATCTTTTTTTTTTTTGAATATCAGGTCGAAAATGATATATTTAAAACGGCTTATAAAGACAAAACGGGTTTACATATACAAGAATATGACAGGTATTATCTGTGTAATTATGGGTCCATAGTATATGTCGGAATTTAGGGTAGGGCTAAAATTGGGAAGATATTATGTGTAGAAAATATCAGCAAGGACATGCAAGTCAGATTGATATGTGAGCATTCCGATGAGTTGTGGGTTCAAGTTTGGAATATTTTCATTAATTTGGGTAAGGAGGATCCCAAAAATGGTATCAAAATGTATACTTTTAACAAGAGGGAAACATTTTCAAAAATCTAATTAGGAAAAAAAGCAAAACCAGGTTAACTCAGGTCAGACAACTAATTTTTCTCCCTCTTGCTTTGTGAAGAACTTACTTATTCTTATGATTACTTGCCTTTACAGATCATGGGGTCGCATTCTCGGCCTTCATGAGTTCAGCAAAAAACTACGGACAAGACCAGACATGGATTTTTGATACCGTTTTGGTCAATGAAGGCAATCACTTCAACAGGGCAAGTGGAACATTTACGTCGCCGTCTGCTGGAACCTATGTTTTTTCGTGGGCAACACTTACGAACCCAGGAAACGCAGCACATCCCTACCTGCGCGTTAACGGTGTATACAAGGGTAAGACAGCTTTTAATCAGCTAAATTCGAAACAACAACTCTGGAGTAGTGGTTCAAACTCTATCGTTCTTTCCTTGAAAGAGGGGGATCGAGTTAACATTGCATCAGGATATCTTGGAGCGTATGCAAGGGAAGAATTCTCCTCTTTCTCCGGATGGAAACTGTTTTGATTTAAAGGATTCATATTTAACGAATTCTGGGAGTTCATGATTGACCTTTCTCTATTGTGTTGTTTTTTTTAGGTACGCAACATGAAAAATGAACAATCTGATATAATATTGTTCACATATTATGGAATCTTTTGTAAATTAAGACTTGCTTATTTGTTTTATCGACACATACATGACTGTAGCACGCAGTATCATATTGATGGTATGAAACAGTTGCGGATCCAGAGGGGGGGGGGGGGGGTCACAGGGTTTGCAATCCCCCCCCCCACCACACACATTGGATTTGCTTATAAGAGACAGAGACACATTGAGAGAGTGGAGATACTAAACATTTGTCTTGTTTTTACGATAGAAAAGGTCCAGTGAAAGCTAGCTAATTATAGTAATGTACGGATAAATTCGATATTGAATTTAAAATGGACTTTTACAAATTAGACGCAGGGTTTTATTTTTTTTTCTTTTTTAATTTTTTTGGACCAAAAATTTCAGGAAATCCATAATTTTTTTCCTCGAAGGGTGTATGGAATTCAACCCGGGGTAAACCCCTTTCACTGTTGAGTTTACCCGATTTTGAATTATTTTCCTATGTTTCCAAATACATGTAAATTCTTTGTAAGTCCAACTAATAGTGATTTAAAGTAAAATTAGATTTATTAAGTGCTTCAATGTATCATGATATTTCAAAATATTAATGTGATTGTCAATGTATCATATTTCAAAATATTAATGTGATTCTTACATTTGCAAATGGAAATTTATTCGTAATTTGACAGATTGAAGGGTTCATTTTTGAGTTAGTGAAGCTACCTCTTCACACCCAACTTGTTAACCACTCGTTTTAAAAGCTAAATAGAGAATAAGGGGAGTTATATCGAGTTTGTATTTTATACACCCTTCGACCCCAGCGTGTATGGAATACAACCCGAGGTATAACACACACACAGACACACACACCCTCCCCAACACAGACACACACCCTCTCTCTCACACAAACCTTAGCTTTAAAACTCTCTTTACCCCACTCTGAAAAAGTTGCAAATGCATTGCCCTCTTGAAAGAAAATAATTAAAGCGCTGTCGAAGTTAAGTCAAAGTATAACTTTCACTTTGATGAAAGAGATCGTTCGAATATGATCAGTTTTGGTAGCGAAGTGGAACGTGTACGTATTAAGATGCAAAAAATATATTATCATGTTTTGTTTTTGTGGCCGTTGACCTCACTCGTCACTGCTCAATGGCTTTGATTACCGACAATAGGTTTTTTTGAAACACCTGATCTGTATATTGTGACGTCTTTCAATGATTGGAAACTTTTCGAATGGGATGTGATAAAAAGGTAAAATCAATCATACAAATTTGATAGTTTGTTTTCGTCCACTGTACTTATAGTGGTGTGACTTGGAAAAAAAACATTCTAGTTTTCTTAACTGAAAGGTTGGAATACAAAGACTAGCATTACAATATAATTATAAATAAAAATCCATAATAAAGATAATTAAAAATATCTCTGAAGGTGAAATATTTATTTCAATGTAAGTATACAGCATTTTAAATTACTTATAATTTGTAACATGTATATCACATAATTTGAGAGTTTCAGTCAAAGTTTTCTTCGGTTTCAGTCATTGCCCTATTGGTTCTGTCAGTTGTCTTTAAATAATCATAATCAAAGAGATGGAGGAAGCTTCCTTTAGGATTCACACCGCTATGTACATGTAGGCACCACAACCAACCCTGTTTGTCAACTGAGAGCGATGTGATATTTAATAAACCATCTTCTGGCCAAACAACAATTCTTAGAAACTGACCACCAATATCTAACATGTGAATGGAACTATCACTTTTGTCTGCAACTAAAATGTTGTCATCTAGATCTAGACATGCATATGCCGCCGAAAATGACGAATTTGAATTTTTTTGCTTATTCCCTTCATAAGTAAACAATGTGGATAAGTGTTGGTCGTACACTTGAAGTTTTGTTTTACATATGATAGCTATTTGTGATTTGGTATCTTTCAGGACATAAAGTTTTGCAACTTGTGAATTGCTTGATTCCCAACCCTCTTGATGTGAAATTGCGTGAGACTGACCATTTTCGGTCACTCGATATATTAATAAATTGAATTTATAACACTTATAATTGGGAAAAAGTATATATTTTTCAGTTAACAAAGATATACCTAATTTTTCATTTTCCTCTACTGCCAGTATTTTCTCTTGCTTCTGGACTGAAAACAAAGACATGCATTTTCCGTTAAGAAAATAAACACTTAATTCTAACCCATATCTCCTTGTGCAAAGAAATCCATGTCCCGAAGAAAGTCCCACACAACCGTCTACATTTTTAAGCACCTCATTCAAACAATTATCACATGTAACTGTGTAAAGTTTCTCGCCTACATGCATGAACATTTGCCTACCAGAAAATAAAATTTCTCTGAGAAAATTATATACACCGAAAGTGGGTTTAAATTGGAAAGAAATGATTCGATTCTCTTGGTCTTTAATTTTTCTCTTGCAAAACAATATCTTGCTGCCAATTTTGTCATGGAAGGGAGATTTCCTCTCAATTTGACGGTCCTCATCAGAAGAAAGATATAAATCTCGTTGTAGGACGACTACCTTTCCGAACACCTCTTCTACTTGCCTTTGATTTAGAATTTGGGCAGCTTCGAATGTAACATTCGCTGCGTCAATAATTTTAATTTCCTTTTCAAGCCGTCGTAGTTCACTGTGACAATGTAAAATTTTAATGCAGTTTGATTCCGTCTTTGGGTCAAATTCGGGAATCTCCAATTTTTCTATTTCGTTTTTGCTTTCCCGAATTCTTTCTTCACATTCAGAAAAAACGTCAGATACAGTGTTCCTGAGGTGTTTCCCAATGCCTCTCACTTCCTCAATAATGGCTTCCTCCCTGCTGTTAATTTCGTCGATAAGTTTAATCTTTCTTCCTTTTAAGGCTTTACTTTTGCAAACCATTTCATTTTTTACTTTTTCAATCAAGGAAGATTCACCATGTAATGCTGCCATCAGTTCCCCTTTTTGCTTTTCAACATAAACAGTCGCCTCACACATTTTATGTTGTACATGAGATGTTGTTATACACTTCATACAAACTGGACATTCACAATCCTCACAGTATATCGGCATTAAGTTCTTGTTGTGAGATTTGCACATTATATATTTTGTATTGTAATCCATAGTAAAATTGATATGAAATCAAATAGTTTCTTTAATAGTTGATATTTACAAGGTAAAATGTGCCCACCTTGTTTAATATTATCTGTTTATGGTAGCCAGGGACTACGTACGAAGTGCAAATATTACATAACGTTACCAGTTCTTTAAAATATATCACGTACTTCATCGAATTTAAAATCGTTGCCTTTTATTTTCTAAATAAACAAAGAACATAGCATGTAAAGCAGTCTTGGTAAATTTTTAAGTTCAATGTACATTAAAGACAACAGACCTGAACATATTGCCAGATGTACAAATAAAACCAATGTGGATTGAAAACACAGATCCGTCTCATGAAAAGACGATACCAACTTTAACAGATGATATCAATTAAAGGGAGAGTAATCAGAGGATGCGTGAGAGAGAAATGATACATGTAGTTATGAAATAGAGCTATTAATGATATATTTAATTATGGATACCTGCATGTTATTACATGTTATTTTTTGGGGGTCTCACCAAATTGGACCTTGGAGTTTAACCCACTTTTACACAAAAATTCCAAACTTTTACTTTGCAGGACATTTATACTTCACATATTTTTTTTTGTGGAAAGACCATTCATTGGATACCACCAACCTTGACCTTTTGACCTTGAGCTTTCCGTACTCATGAAAAAAACTTTAACATTGGTAAATGACATATCTTTTGAATGGTATTTTTGACATATCTTTTGGAGTTTGATCTACTCTAAAAAAGCAAAGCTTGGCGGGAACCTTTAAAGGGTTAGGGCTAGTGCTTTGATACTTTACATATTTAATGCTTGTGACAGGACCTTTCATTTGATAGCAGGACCTTTGACCCTATGAACTTGACCTTTGACTTTGACCTACTTATTTTTTTTTTAACCTTGGCCATAACTTCTGAACGTTTAGGACTTGGGCTTCCATACTTGACATACGTAAGCAAGATTTTTAATTAGATACTAATTACCTTGACTTTTTGACCTTGGAAATGTTCGTACTTACAAAAAAAAACTTTAACCTTGGTCATATCTTTTGAACGCTAAGGGCTAGTGATCTTATACTATACATATGTAATCCTTGTGAAAAGAACCTTCATTTGATACCAAGATTTCCAAACTGATGAAAAATTTTTACCCTGGCCTGATTTCATATTTCAGAGCTGCATTTCCAGTGAGTTTGCATTTAAGAAAAGTTTAAACTTCGCTTATTGAATTGTTGAATCTGGACTCCTTCCTTACGATGATGACAACGAAAATTTGTGAAACGACAATAATTTCTCGTTTCTTTCTTTATTTCTTATACAAGTGTTGTCATGACATAGTGTCCTTTTTTTTACATGTATATAATGAAATTAAAACAAACGAAGATAAAATTTCAAACACTCATTTTATACATTTTCATTTCTCCTCAGGCTATAACTTCAAAACAATCTAACCGCGGCTCGAAGATAAATCTCTACTTCACTAAAATGCCTAAATTTGCTATTTATGTCATTCACTTGTCTGAATATCAAATGAATTTGTAGCTCCTTGAGATGAGGATTTAGTATTTTTATATTGAATATGTCAATGACAGAAGAAATATGTATGAACACTAAATATACATTGTGTATTAATAATCGTAACTTCTCGGCCATTTTCCGAAAGAGAAATAGCATATATATTTTTATCGTTAAGGGAAAGAAGTCAGACAGAAGTCCATAGTAATGTGTTTTTATTTTAATTTTTGTTCATATTGTATTTCCATACTAAGTATTAAGAAAGAGCGTTTGTATATATTTATTACAGTCTAAGGCTTTTCCATAGTGTTTCCCCATTTGGTCAAGCATGCTATTCATGCATGATTTGATATTCTGGTGAGAAGTTTGTTATTATAGTATTTTAAGACACTTTTCAAAAAGATCCTTGAGAATTGAGCAGTGTGTTGACTGACTCTAGAAGAATTCATTGATTTATAAAGTTTGACTATTTTGAACTATACCAGCTAGACCTTATGGACTTATGGTCAATATACATGTACTA